TTTTTTAATTTTACTATTCTCGACTGCTACTGAGCTTGTATTTTCCTCTTGTGCTTGACTGTACTTGAAGCCTATAGTTATACCAGTAAAGCTAGGATTGGTCCAAACATACATCACTTTATATCTGTACACACCAAATTTCACCTGTTATTTATGCCAGGCTGTTAACAGATACATGAAGTCCTGCGACTCTTTGCTGTCTATCCCTCACCTTTACTACCCTTAGAAACATGATGTTGTCAGCAAATTTTGCTGTCTCAGTTGCTCCTGTATCCCTTTTTTATCCCTTCAGCAGAAACAGCTTAAGCCTCATGACAAATTGCAAAAGAATTACATGTTATTTCCTTGAATTTAGAAATTTGTCTGCTTGTTCTTAACATTTGTTTTTTATCTTTCAGGCAGTTATTATTCATACAAGGGCATTCCCTTGAATTCCACAGTTGTCTTTCTTCTTTAATAGCCTTTAGTGAAGAACCTTCTTCAGTGTTTTCAGTATTCTACATCAACCTGGTACATGTGTTCACTGGTTCTTAAGCTTTGTGAAGTGCAATTTTTCCCTACAAAAATCATGTCAACACTTTCTTAAAATGACATATTTAGCCATGGTGAAAGAATATTACAGTAAAATTTAGAGAACACTGAATTAAAGTCACCTTAATCTTGCATTCTAAAAGATACTGTAATACTTTGCAGACTGCAACTATTTTTATTGTATTGTATGTGGGATCAAAACCTTCTCCTGCTTGTCAGTTTTCCAGTCAGTTATATAATGAAACTTCAATTCTTCGAAAACTGCTAAAAAATTTAATTTTATTCATTATACATGTTATAAAGTTTTTTTACAGTTATATGCAAAAATAACAACACTTTTGCTGAATTTGCACATTGTAGATTGTCTTGTATAATTGGTTTTGCTTCACTATCACTATTCTCAAGAGGATGATCCTAAAAGAAGTGACCAAGAGCACTTGTCTAAGCTTAATCCAGTCTAACCATAAACACAGCAATGAAGTTGGATCTTTTCTGCTTTAAAGAAACCAAACAAACATAAAACATAACCTACAGGTAAGGCCTACAAGTAGCTGTTTCTAATGTGAACATCCATCAATTAACATGAAAATTTATGGGCAGGTTTGATCTTTGCATTAAAAAAATCTGATCCAAACATTTCATAGCATTTCAAAATCTTTAATGGAAAGTAACATTAATGGAAAGGTCATAACATCAAGCAAGAAATATCTGTCACAGCCAAAACACTATGCAAATATCTCAACCCTTACAGTTCACTAAATCCCTTATAGAAGAGCTATTTAAAAAAAAATTACAAGAACTGTGTTCACATTCCCTATTTCTGCTAGGCATGTTAAAAAAAAATACTTATCATACAATGTTCCCCTAGATTTGGCAAATTTGTGCTGAAAACGAGATGCAGATCAGTCTTCACAACAATTTAGTCACTGGCCTCTCTGATCTAGTCAACAACAACTTGGCAACAACTCCTAAAATATGACTTATGATACAAAACTCTGCTGTGAAATCCCAGTCACAAAGAACACTGACTATAGCTGGAATTTTTTGGATCGATATCTTGCCCTGTTGGAATGATCCATATGGCATGTAAAATTCATGTTAAGGCTAGGAATCAATGACAAATATAAATGGATGCTAGTGATAATTACTATTTACCCGATTTATCCACCCTCCAACTAATAATTTAGTTTTATGAAGCATTTTTCATATAAATTTCCACATGACCTTGTATTTTCAGAATAGAGTTTAAATTACTGCCCTCTTCACTTGCTAGCATGCTCAATTCAAATAGATTTAAAAAATAACTAACAAAGTGTGTATTTGACTTTTTGTCCTAGCTTTTCCATAATGAACTGTGGTGGAAAACAAAACTCAATATTTCTCATTTAGCTCTTTTAAAGAATTCACTGTGAGGTTTTTAAAGAGTTCAGTCATGACTAGGATGTCAAGTGGGTTCTCACCCAATGAAAAGCTTTCACATCCAACACTGAACTGTTACATTTTACAGCTATTTTTCCTCCTCTTGTGTGGTGGTTTATTACCTTTGCACACAGGAGTGTTGCTAGATCTTAGCAAAGGAATGGAGCTTTTCATGAAACTCCCTTAAAGCCTTTTCTTGCTGAATAGGTTATTGACAGAAGAAAGTGGAGTAAAGCAGTTTTCTTGAAAAATGCCTTGGATACAAATGCAAGAAGATGCTGAACTCTACACAAGGAGAACACTTTGCAACACTCAGTTCTAACTTTGTTTTTAAAAGAACCCAGATAGACACAGAAGCACTATGGATAGTGAGACCATCATAACACAATTTCTTTTCTCTAATTTCCTATGTTAATAAACCTCTTGTTATCTGTAGTGAAGAGTGACCATGAGTTGTTCTTCGCACTCGCTGGAGAAACTATTACTTAATCTACTCCTTTGAATTTCTACAACTTGAAAGGGCAAACAACTTCAATTTTACCTAGCAGTTATAGCAACATAGAATATAGCAAAACAGGGATGTGGCAATGTGAGCATTAATTCTGCAAGTGACAGATCAATCACTGTTTTCAGACAATAGTGAGGGCTGTATATAAAACCCCAATCTAATATAAAGAATCACAGAATCACAGAACCACTAGGTTGGAAGAGACCTTCAAGATCATCAAGTCCAACCCATGCCCTAACATCTCAACTAAACCATGGCACTGAGTGCCACATCCAGTCTTTTTGTAAATACATCCAGGGATGATGATTGTACCACCTCCCTGTGCAGACCATTCCAGTACTTTATTATTCTTTCCGTGAAAATCTTTTTCCTAATATCAAACCTATATTTCCCTTGGCTCTGGTTAAGATAATACATACTCGTGGGCCCTCTAGTAGGAACAAAGAATTACTTCCTCCAAGTTATTTGTTTGGCAATGAGAACGGAAGAACCAGCAGCAAGAACTAATGAAACTCTTCCAGGTTGGTTTCAATGCACTAACAAGTAGGAGCCACATAACATTATAAGCCCACATCAATAACAATAGATAATTTACAACGTTTAGGTTTTTTCCTTTGTTCACCATAGTTGATGCATTAAAAAAGAAACTATTTAGGTTAGAGCCATTAATATGGTTCCTAATTATCTTACCAAACCATGACACAGTGTAATGACTCAAAGTAGCGAATCTCTGTGTAATTAACACTGAACACCACTATGGCATTTACTTCCTCTAACAGCATGAACAAGCATACAATTAATTCTGTTTCTCATATATATAAAGGTGAAGCATATATTTCCCTACACACCTTAGTCCTGAGTCTTTTCCTCAAAAAAGGCTTACACAAGATCACACAAGCTGTAAGAGCATATGAAAAGACAAGCACTACCAACAGTCTTTTCAAAAACTTCCACATGCTTGAAAAGCCCAACTCTCTAGCTATCTGCCAGAAAATTCATTTTGCATCTTTAATTTCTGAGATTATCCTACCTGAACTTAAAATCCCTCTTGCAGGTGTGAAGTTATGGAAGTACTGAGTTGTCATGGAAAGTCTGAGGAGCAATAAGGATAAACCCAGAAGTGACCAACTAGCTGCCTCCCCAGCATAGATGAACTTGCAAATAAAACTTTCTAAAATCTGCAGGCTATTTCTTTTTTAAAAGGTTACAGGGCAGATTTGACTAAAAACATCCAGACAAAATATTTTCAAAGGCATGCACATTTGGGATAGCAAAATGTAGATTTCATCTTTGTTTCACCATTCAATGACAGAAAAAACATGCATTGCAAAAACTTCTTATATTTTAAGCTAGGCTGAAAACTGGACTTCAATTACTCAGACATGACTGTCTGGCTGGAAAAAAATTTGTTTTGAAGTTTCCTTCTAATTAAAACCCCATTCATTCTATCTTAAATCACTAATTTAATTTATACTTAAACATTCAAATTCTGTCTCAAGTCGTGTCTTCACACCAATTAACTGGCCAAAAATCCTGTGGGAAAAAAAGCAAAGCTGTGTCACACTAAAATCAACACTGCTTTTAGTCACAGAATTCCATTTAAAAGCATGATTTAACTTAAAAAGCACAAACTAAATCCAGATCATTAGTAAATATGTGCTGCAACTGATTTAATTCTGAAGTACCTTACTGCAAGGCAATAATATCTTTATATAAATGCCAGCCTGCTTTAACCAAAGTACTGATTTGATATAGGGACAAGCACAATCGATTTAAAAAGAATATGGCAACTTTTCCATTTGAGAGAACTTCAGCAGGTCATGTGAACCAAAACCAGACCACACTTCCTCACTAACTTGCATTTGAAAGGCAAATGAGCACAAATAAGTAGTATGACTAATATTTACTAAACTAATTCACTATTTCACCTTTTGAATTTCAAAATTATTTACCTCATGTATCATTTTAATTATTTTTACAGTTCATTCCCAGAGAACCTCGATACTGGGAAATTAATTAATGGGCACAATAGAAGAACAGTCAGCATTGTTTAAATATAATTTCTGCACTAGCCTCATTTACATGTATCCCTTTATTCTAAACAGTGGTATTACTGAATTTTTTGTATGAAATTGCTAGTTCATTAAAAGTAGCACAATGTTATCCTTTTCTGCAGATATTCATGGGTTATCAAATCTGCTGAAATACATGCTTAAGATAATCATTAGAGCATTTATTCCATAGATTTCAAAGACATTGAAATATTTGTATAATAGTTGCATCATTGTTTAATTAATTTGCTTTAGCTTTATCATATTATTAGCTTTCCTAAAAGTTATCAAATTAATATTTCAAGGCAGACCTACAGAAAGCAGTAAGTGCTAGTCTACCATTTCACAACTGAAAAAAGTAGTGAGAATACCTCTACACATATATGTCACATATTTATACTGAAAGACTAAAGCAACATCTAAGTAATAGTATTAAAAAATAATGGTTGCTTATTCCAACTTCTGATCAAATAACAAGGAAGTGCTCACAAAATTCAAAGAAATCCTCTCATGAAGTATGTTTTAGCCTACGTATGTCACTTCCAAATAGTGAGGTTCTTGTGTGCCTTTCTGGACAAAGTTGGTGGTTGGATTACAATGAACTCTTAAATAAAAAATTAGATATCATTTGAGAAAAACATATGAAACAATTCAACAAAGATATTGCTGAATTCTTCTTAGGTAAATAAAAACTCTACAATCCCCAAATTCCTATCTCTGTAAATTGAAGGATGATTACACCAATGTAATGCAAAATTTTTGTGAAGATTTCTTATTAGATTGACATTCATACCAGAACCTTATCTGTTTTAAGAAAAATCTATTTTCTTCTTAATAATAACTTTCTCTCAAGGAACACCATAAGAGCTGAGAATGCACAAATATGTCACATGTTCAGTCACATTTTTAATAGGTGGTCTTGTCGACTAAGATAATAAGTAGAAAAACCAAAAAGATATTTAGTAATAAGCATGAGATATTACCTTCCTTCCCGGTTTTCCAAGCTAACAAGTTTAGACATGACAGAGTAAAGTCATAACACAGAGTCAAGAACATCATCCAACTTTCTAGAACAACCATTATCAAGATAATCAAGACACATCACCACTGGCTGCTTCCCCTTCTCCCATCATTAAACCACATTCTACAAAACAAGAAAAAAGCAACAAAAACTTTAATTTCTGATCGCCAGTTTTTCCTGTTAGAGGGTAGGAAATAGCTGGGACTGGTATTTCCCTCCATTTGCTGTCCTGCAAAAATCTTACTCATGAAAACACTGTTTCATTGCACAGCACCACTATCTGAAGCAGTCCCTGCTTAGGAGCAGCAATTTCCCTGAATGTTCAATCTTGCTTCGTGATGATGACTTAATTATACCAAGCTTTTTGTGACCATATGACTGCTTAAACATTCCTTGGTCTGCATGCTTCACATTTCATTCAACTTCTATTAAAACAAACTAATAATGCCACCGAAACTAAAGCAGGCAGTCACTGAATGCAGCAACATCTTGTGTGATTAAAGAAAAGAAAAAGCACAACATCCGAAAACATCACTCAGCTGCTCTTCAGCTACGTCCAGCACAGAGGCTCTATAGTCGTGATTGTGCTCAACTGCAGGTTTATAAAAGGGCTTATGTCAAAAGCAACTGAAAAGCGAACACCATTACTCATTCCAAGTATCTGAAAATTGCTAGTCACTCAATATCGCAGCTGGAAGTGTTAATAATTCACAAATTTTAATTAAATTCATTAAATACTTGATAGCTATCACTAGGAGTTTGATCTTGTTGGGATGAATAAGACTAGCTGCTTCTTTTGTTAATACAAAAGACTCACCAAGCTAATCCAAAAACTACTCTTCAGACCACTTCTATTCCCATCCACCAACTACTTAGCACACAAAGAATTAATAGTGATGATTAGGTGCAGCTTTGCTGAACCCTGATCAGAATGAGAGACTACATCTACTAAATATGACTGCTTTTATTAGATTTAGCAAAAATATTTCCTATTAATAACACTACAGTTCTGAAGATCCTAAACGACTCCATGGATTTCAGAGCCTGCTCAGAACTTGAATATCTTTCAGGACACTGAGACAAGGTAAGATCTTTGCTTTAAATCTTCTTAAGATCTGACAATCAACTGCAGAATAATCAAGATAAAGTCTGTTTTAATAATAGATCGTCACACCAGACCACTGATTGCGGACAGCAGCATAAAGCAATAGATTCATGTGGAAATGGCAACACCTGAAGAGTTGCTACAATCTGCTTTATCAAGGTTCTCTGGAAGTTACCTCTGATGCTACTATTCTTATCTCTGAAAAACAGAATTTCTGTATTGACCCTGAAGAGACCCCTGAGCAATTAGGAGATTATTACAACAGTAACACTTTTATACTTTTCTCTATCTCAACTGTATCAGACACTAATCATTAATATTTTCCTAGGAGCCAGTTCCTTAGAAAAGCTCCTACAAGACTATCCAGTAGCAGTGTAAATTAAGAAAAAAGGGGCAGAAATTGAGGTAAATTTTAAATACCACCTAAATGCAACCTTATTAATTCTAATATTACCAATAATGCATTGGAGGTTTTTCTATAAAATCTTACTCCATCACAGCACAAGGACTTAAAAAGCTCTTGCTCTTCAACAGCTTTTCCCATACTGACAGCCCGAGGTAACCTGCACAGCTTCATGTTTTTCCTGTTTGACATGGCACCACCAGACTGTGAAGCTTAAGTTACTCAAATCTCTTAGTGCTGTTAATAAACATGACTTGCTGTTTTCTCTCCATCAGCTTTTGTGAGCAACACTCCACTAATCCATGCTGATATTCAAAGGACTAAGTTTTCAGTAGCAGGAGCTTGAGACACTCCCAACAGATGACAAAGCAAACAGGAGTGCCCTAATCACTGCTCCTACCCTTGAGCAGCTCAAAATAGGAGGTCAGCTTTGATGCAAAGATCACAGTGTAACACCTCCTACAGAACTTCTGAGAATCCCTCTATCAAAAACTTTGACCAAATATTTTAAAAGAACAATAGTAGTCCCACTGAAACAATCTGGACACTGCATTAGATTCCCAAACATCTCTTCAAATTTTCAGAAGCATTTTACTTACTTCCTTTATTTAAGACTTTAAAAGAGTACATAGTGACGTTATAAATTACTCTTTCTGCATTTACTTCCTACTATTAAAAAAGAAAAAAATTACATACCATTTTCTTTAAATCTCTCTTACTATGTCGTAACAGGCAACAAAAAAGAACATTAAAAAATTATGCTGCCAGGCTTCAAGATGAATTTTATCAACAAAATGAATCTGATAAAAGAAATATGCCTCACAGTAACAACTCAGCCTCTAGAAAATTAAAACAGAAACCAAACAAAATATCTACCCAAGGTGTGAACTAAAATATTTACTTATTAAAGGATGTAGCATCAAAATGTAATTGTTAACTGTATCTGTCCTTCAGCTTTACAATATTTTTCAAATTAATCAAGCTGATTTTTCCAACATGATTTTGCTTATAGCAATGAAGACTGAAGACTCTAAACTTTTAGACTTTAAAATCTGACTAACATATCCCAAAATGCTGGGAAGAAGGATGTAAAGCTGTATGTTCAAACATAAATTTAAGTTAATGCCAATGTTTTGATATCTCACAAATAATGTAAACTGCAAATCTAACTTCATTCGGTACGTAGCTACAAGACTTTAAACACAGCTTACTCTTTTACTTTGTGTACATAGTGATTGCTTGATTCCCAAACACCCTAAATCAATACCAAAATAGCAAAGGATATAGAAAACTAAAAAAAAAAAGCTACATTTGATGCAATTATACCTTACCAAAAAAAACCCAAAAACAAAACAGTAATTTTATGATAATCAATACCAATCATCCAATACCATTTTGAAAAACTGTTTTCTGTACACATTATTTTTCAGAGTAGCATTAAAAACTTACTGGTATAAAATCTCTGCTATTACAGATTGGCTCTGTGGAAAGATGAAATTCACCACACACTGACAACATCTGTAGCTCATTCCAGCCAAAACAAAGGCAGCACAGTGTGCATCGTTGGAAGAAACATGTTTGAAACAAGCAATGTGCAAAACGAGCTGCAAAACAAAGTGATCTGCTCACACGAAGTTATACTGAGAATTTATGTACTGAAGAGACTCCCAGAGCCATGCATCCAGGCACACTGACACAAACAGAAGTGGCAAACTAATGACCGATTCCAGAAGTTTTACAATTCTTTGGACTAGTGATGAGCTACTGAAGATGGATCCTGGCCACCTTTCAAGAATCTGCATTTGCCACATAACTTTCCGACAGCTAGAACTGTATCAGGAACATTCCAAGGGCTGTGTATTCTCCATGTTATCCCACCAAAGCTTGGCTAGCCCTTGAAGGCTGTGAAAATTCACTGTATCCCTGGGCACCTAAACAATAAACCAAATTAATAATCACTTCTCAAAAACAACAAGGTGCTGCTACTATGGAAACAGGAGGTGAAGCAAAGGTTGTCAGCACTGCTCAGTGGGAGCCTACAGAAAACCCAACAGCAGAAATCCGTTTCTGTAACAGGTACCAAACCAGAGACAAAGAGAATTTAAAACAAAAAGCAAAATAAGAAAAAAAGAAGCCATAGCACAGATAGAAAAAAAAACCATGAAGAGTGCCTGTCTAATGAAATGGGACTCAATATAAAGGAGAAAGAGAATCTACAACTCAGAAAACCGAAAACCTCTTTACCCTATACCTAATTTACATAGCAGATATTCAGAGATCATATTAATCATCACACTTAAAACTTGAAAAAAAATACTGCAATCATACAAACATTAAGTCTGCACTTAAATATTTAACTGCAAAAGTTATCAGTAGTTGTACAGTATCATGAAAAAAAATGCTTCAAATTGTATCTTATGGAAAACTGAAAAAAAATATCGGTATTTGTAACTATGGAAATGTTTTACTAAAAGACAGATGTTGGCTTGTTTCAAGACAAACCAAGAGCACATAACCGCCAGAAAAAAAAATCTTTTTCTGAAATATTAAAATGAAGTTAAAACATACTTAGGAGACAACTTTTCTCCTTCTGAAACCTAAGATTAAAAGAAGTATCACCAATTAAAGTTGTTTATACTTCTCAAAAAGGACAACTGATTTGTTTTCCCATTAAGACACATTTTCCACAGTTTTGATAAATTATTATTAACAAGGAAAGAATCCCATTAGAAAGAAGAAAACGTGTTTATTAACAAACAGGAAGATTATTAGAACTTAAAGGCTCAATCATGAAAATGCTACTATTAGTTTTGAGGAAAATTTGAGCATAATGCATAAGATTTCTTTTTTCAGCAACATGAGAATTTATTAAAGGATAATCAGAAGATGCAGTCTTTGTTGAGCTGATTTGTATTTAATAATTAAAATAGAACTTCCACAAAGTCTGTTCTTTTACAGAAAGGAAACACTAGGCGGTGTTATCTGGAAATTTTCATTCATAACTTTTTGCAAGAAAGAAAGAAAAATTTACTATATTTAAATGAAAAAGCAACAAAGCATAGATTATTTCAACTGTTATCTCTACTGTCCTATCTAAAAGACTGTGTTTCCTCTCCAAAATATTAATTTCTACCTAGAATGCAAAAAACCTGCTGTATAACTATTTGTATCTATTTTGCTTATTCAAGTTATTATTACTATTTCCTAAGTCACTACATAAAACTTGCATTTTCAACACTATTTATTGTGTTTCATAAAAGTTCCATTAGAAACAAATTCAGAGCAAATAGAAGCTGAAGGTATAATTTCCATTTATTACCTTTCATAATACCTTTTTCATTCAACATATCAACACAATCTAGGGAATTTCTGCCATTGTTCTCAAAGACAGATAAAGGACAAAAAATAATCACAGCATGCAATTGTTCTAATCTACCAAAACCAATGGAACACTTATTATAGGTTACGTGATACAATGTACAGTAATGCTATGGATATTTACAATGATCCAGTTGAAGAGTAGTGTAAAAGACTATTACGTGTTTTCAGTTTGTGGGGGCTGTATTCCTTTTCAAAAACAGACACAGGAGGTCAGGATGATGTCTACAGAGGAAAAGTGAGATCCCTTAGGAGTTTCCCTTCAGATGAATTGAAAATTCCAGGGATCACAGTGAACACCAGGAGAAAAATCACAGCAAAGAACACCAACCAGAAAGACTGATAAGAGGATCAGGAGGAAAATAGTTTGACGAAAAGAATCTTGTAGGGGCCAGAGAGGGCTCTGAGGAGCTTTCTAGGATTCAGAAAGTCATTTCTGATTGACATAGCTACTGTGGTTTGGTTTGGATTGCAAACATTCTTTTGAAACACATTCTCACAGAGTCATGTACTGAATCACGGCTAAGGCCAACCTGAGGTTTTATAGAGTATCCAGGGACTTGTCAGAGCTGGTACATGTAGTTATAAACTATTCTCTTGCACATGAAAGTCTTCTTGCCAAGTTTTATTTATGTCTTATTCCTTCATTACTTAAAAGCATAACCCGAAAAAAATAAGTCAGACTGGGAATTTCATGTAATGTTTTCCCATACACTCCCTCTCTGCAAGAAGAAAACAATGAGACAAAAATTATTTTGGTTTCAAAAACGTTCAGCCAAACTAAACCACAGAAGAGCCTTTGATTTTATCTCAGTCATCTGTTTCATTTATAAGCAAAGACTGTTCCATATACTGCAAAAAATTCAAAGCCTTCAATCTGTCTCCTGTCACAAGAAAAACGAGAATGTTGCAGTGTGAAGGATGGGAAAAACTATGCATTTCCATTAATACCTGAAGTGGTCAAACACCTTTTGACTCCAGACCAAAGGAGAATATCATGCCCAATTTCCTTTATTCTGATATTCAAAAACAGAGAACTAAGACAGCCACAACTCCAATTACCACTTAAAAATGAAGATTTCTCAGAATTTGGTAATTTATGACATAATTCCTAGTACTCTTAAATCAAATGGACATCTCCATCTTCCCTCTAGGAAAGGAAAGCATAGCTAATTCAGAATTATTACCACATGCTCTCTTTCATTATTGCATCTCTTTAAGAAAGCATGGACATGCACAGTTGCTAGTCCAACCTCCAGCAGTAATAGTATTCATCAGTAATCTTCTCGTGAGCCTTTACAATGGCTTTACTACTTGACTTCAATCAGCTGTAAAGCTCTTTTATTCTGTTATCACATCAGTGTGAGGGAATGAATGCCAAGGATTGAATGCCCTCCTACAGGAGCACAGTCATGCTGTTAGAATAGCAATGAGCTTCATCTGACACTGCTCAACATTTTCTTTCACACTCCCTCACTCTCACAGAGAAGCACATGCATGACAAAAATAAATGTCTGTTGAGTGGGAATGCTAAGAAACAAATCTACAGAATAATATACTATAATATAAATAGAGAATATCACAGTTTAATAGAAAGAGTTGGAAGTTGATAAAAAGGATGCAATTAATAGACAACTGGCAGCATTTGTGTTCCATTTATCAGAAGAAGAGTACAATAATTATGCTACTGGTGAGAAAGACTCAGAATTTCTAAACAGCATGTCTCATCTATTAATACTCAATTCTTCTTAAGCACTTTTTTTTGCTGATGCAAGGACCTAAGCACAAACTTGTTCTTAATCATTTTAATAAAGTGACGAAAACTAGAGGCCAGATAAAAAAATGGATGACTGTTGATATTCTAAGTAGAATCTTTTGGTAGCTCAGGCCTCTCTCCTCCCTGTACTGTTTGCTGTTGTGTATATGGCTTTAGCCAAAGAAGGGGACAATCCTTATATGAAATCTTTGCAAATATGCCCCCAGAATCTAGACTGACATATCGACAAACCTATCAGACAACTCAGGAAAGCAACTGAATTGCCATTTATAACTTAATATTGCTTTTAGGACAAACACAGAGGTTTTTATTTTTATTTTTGTAATTTGAAATAAATCATCTAAATTCCACCATGAAAGTAAGCTATGCTTTGGCAGGAAAAAATAAAAAGTGCAGGAAAAATAAAAAGTGCATTTTTCTAGCTCTCATACATTAGTGGATATTCAGTAAAAAATACATTATAAAGTGCTTTCCAAAAGTTTGTATCTCAATAATTAGTTAGGATAAATCCCACTTTCTGACCAACTATAAAGCAGTACCTTTCCTCAATAAAGCTTATTTCTACCAAATATTTTTTAAATATTTAAATCAAAACTTATTTTTACAACAATATGGAAAAATCTACACAGTCTTGTAGATAAGATAGAATGGCTGAAAGGAGGAAAGACATCAGAAAGCTGGTAAAGAAAATGAATAACTAAGTTAAGAAAAGTTAATTCTTTTTGTAGGACATTCTCTTTTAAATCAACACTAAGTTGCAAGTCCATTAGTTCTCTAAATCTTATACTTCATAATCACAAACCCAATTGGTTTATGCTTCTATTTCCTGACAGTCATTAAGATATTCTGACTTTCTCCCTTCATTTAAAATGTTTATACTAAAAAGAAATTATCTTCCTTGCCTGAGAGCTTATTTAAATTCCTGTGCTGGTCCATAAAGGATGAAGGATGGTGCTGTGGACTGTGAAATGCCTTTGTGTTTGACCAGAAGCAGATTATTTCAATAGTGCACTACACTCCACAGTCCATTTTAGAGTGAACAGGAACACAGTGAAATCTCTCTGCTGTGAAGTATGCCAGCATCAACTCCAGCTTGGAGAAACAGAGAATGACTTTTGTGCCTCTTCTCAGGAATAAGGCATTGATGTGGCAAGTGAATGAGGCTTCTGAACATTGTTTTCAGAACACGAACTGACATCTCAGCACACCAGAGAAGCAATAAAACTTAATGAGTGACTCAACTGATCACATTTTCTTGAGAAACTACACTGCTCCAGAGACATAAACAGCAACTTTTTCAGTAGGGATGTGTTAAATAGTTTCCTGCACCTCTCAATCACGGTTGTAAAAAAGATCAAAACTCAGGATGAAGCTCTACAAAACACCTTCTCCAGTGAAAGTATACAGCTAAAATTGTATCTGCAGTGATGCTAGACTTTAGTACATAGTATTTTGGTGACACCCTTTCCTAGTAATGTAAGGAACAGAAATCAGTAAAGGATTGATATTTTCCTTTATTTTTTAGTGTAGGTGAGCAACAAAAATTTATCATAACATGGTCAGGCAGTTGGACTAGATGATCATTGTAGGTCCCTTTCAAATGAACTAATGCATTCGGTTCTACTAGTTACATCACAAAAAACATTTACTAGCACATGTAGTCAGGAAAACTGACTCACATCTCATGTAGAAATGGGCCAGAAATGACTGCTTCTAACATGGTCAGCCAGCCATTCCCTGCCTCCTCTCACAACAGTGGGATACAGAACTGCCCAGCTCTGCCCTACCCTAAACTTAATTATCTAATAAACAATAAAGTTAAATTAGAAAAGGATCCTCCTCATAGCCATGGACAGAAAGAAAGAACTTAATGGTAGCTGAGATACCACAAGTTCAAACCCCTTTGACAGGAGAACAAGAAAGAACTCACAACTCACACTTGGTTTCAGTAAATAGCATTATTTAAAAGAACTAGGCTGCACCAAAGGTAGACTGTAAGACTATAGATGCTTGATGAGATAAAGGCTTCTCAAGGTTGTTAACACACTGTTTTTACACAACGTTAATGAACTCATGGGCATCAGCTTCAGGATTATTTTAGAGACTAAGTTTTAGCACAGGAATGCATGATTCCACATGTGCTCATCTTCACACTTCCAAGAACTCTTTCCAAATATGAAGAGCTTTCTGATTCAGGATTTATTTGCACTTCTAAAAGCAATGAAGTAGAATAAGGGCAAGAAGAAAATGAAATAAACTGCTATGGTGAGTAAAAACATTTAATGAAGATTTAACTCTTCAAAGTCTACTTTTCTACTGATACTAGCAGAATTTTTGAAAATGACGCTAGGAAAATGTATTTAAAGCAACAAGCTGATTAATCTGAATAAAAGCTAAGGGGGTAAAATGCACAGAGTAACCTAAATCATAAATTCAAACGCAGCTAAAAGAAAACAGATAGTCATTATACTTTAATACCAAAATGAATAATTCTTAAATTCCCCATTAAAAAGTACTTTATAAGACTTATTTACTACAATAAAAGCACCTGCAACATTACTCTGACTTTACATAATTTTCCGTTAATTACTTAGACTTAGCAATATGATGGAAAACCTAATAATGTGGTATTTAGTACTTATATAAACGGACAACCTGGAAGAAAACCAAATTCCGAATGGATCTAAATTACCCAAAAGATGAAAAAAAATTTATCTTCCCTTCATTTTCTAAGCACTTATTTGAGGGATCAAAGCTTATTAACACAACTATTTTATTTAGAAATATTAAAAACACTGCACAATACTAAAAATCTCCTGCACTTTGTTCTCCCCACTTCATCCCTTATCCTCTGCTGAAAGAAGAACATTAGGTTTTGTTAATGCTGTTAAACAATATAAATGTCTCTTCTGTAGTGGAAAACTATCATGATTAAAATTAAAGAAATATTTATTTCCAAATAGATGCGCTTCTGGCATTTAAACATATATAAGAGCAAAATGCTTCTGATATGAATAATGTAGAACTAAGTAAGATATAAATTATTAAAAAGGGGATTATTGGAAACACTGGAGGTCAAAATGGATGTTTGCTTGAGGCCAGGAAAAGGAAGCAGTAAAGAGAGGAGACAAACAAAAAACAGGTCTTTACTCTATGAGCAATATTAACACCTAAAGGAAACCACTTCGCAGTTTGAGTAAGTTTATTAACACATCATTATCCCATTAAAAATAAGAAGTTTGATGAATAATTATTTAAATACTTTCTTAATTAAAAGCAAAGATACAATTTTCCTATAATACAAATCATATTTGATGTAAAATATTTGTACCCATTTTTTTCTGGACACTTTCCCCTGCTTATTTGTCAGCAAATCAAGCAATCTGCTGACCTGGACTGAATGAACAAGCCAGCTCTCCTCACAGCTCTCTTCATATATTTGAAGATCAAACAAGGAAGTCAAATTTTCCTACTATGTTATATTGCCAAGTGCTCAAATAAATTGTACGTGGAAGGAAGAGTTTTCAACATATTTGAAAAGTAAAAGAGGACACATTTAAGACTATTGCTTTTGAACAAAATAAATTTACATAGAAAACACAGATTTCAATATCTCACAAAACAAAACGTTGCTGTTTCCTATTTAAATATTTAAATTAGTAGAAAAATTCAGTATCAATATTGCAAACTAAAAAATACTGTGGACAAAGAAATGCTGCCTAATTTTGCATTCCTTAGACTCTAGAGGTAACATAAAACATTCCAACCATGATGTGGTTATAAAACAACAGTGCCTTGTAGAAGAAGGAGGACAGTCTTGAATCATATGGAGTTTGTAAAACAATTGTAAAAAAATAGCATCTTCTTCAACCTTTCTAACCTAAAGATCCTTTTCTACATGGAATATATGCAAATGTTGTCAACAGAGTTTCAGAGTCACAGTATGGCTACTCTAAACGAATCTAGGTAGCGTATCTTGTCTTTGAGTAAGGGAAAATCCAAGGAAGTACAAGCTTTAGGTAATTTCTTCCCATCCACCAGCATCATAGCACAGAGGTATCTTGATCCAGATGTTGGAATCTGCTTCAATTCCTAATGACAGATTTTTCTCTCACAAGTTTGCCACTTCCTTTTTGAATCCACATCACATTCAGGACCCAAGAAGCATTGTGGTAAAGAGTTCAACAATTAAACTGAGTGCTGTGTAAAGACCTATCTTAGGCTGGACCTGACATCAGTTTTTAAATGTGACTAAACTTTTCCCTATGTCACATGTATTTTTTACATTTATGCTACATACTCCTCTTAGTCATTTCTGCCCCCCCGCCCCCAGCTAAGGAATCTTGAAGGTGCAATTCTTCACTTTATATATTAGATATATTAGATATATAGATTTATATAATGGCAAACTTCGGGTCTGTTTCATTCCTCATTCTAACTTTTTCCTAAAAGTATTATGACCCCCAGTTCTTGCTCCTAACTGGCAGTGCATAGTTCATGGTTAAAGATTATGTATCAGAATATAATTTCCTTTTTCTACCTAAATCTTTGCATGTCACTTTACATTTACATGAATGGGAATTTCAAGTGCCATTTTATTTTTGTCACTCTGTCTCAGATGGTCTTTCTGCTTTTCTTGGTTTGTAAATTCAGTTCTATGTTTACTCCAAAGGAGTTTTTACCAGCTGCAGGCTTTCCTATTCTTTCACTTTTCTTTCCTGCTCAATTGTGACGATACTACATAACACATGTACAACTAGCACACATAAGAAAAGTACAGACATCTGCAGTACTTTCTGTTCATCAACTTAAAACTGTATTTTGATCTGAAAACTTTCAACTTGTTATGCTACCAAATACTACTCTTGTTCAGATATGAAATAAAGGATTATCTGTTTTGTTTCAACTTCATCTACTGTGCATTTCAAAGTAATTGAAATTAGGCTTTTGTAAATTTCTAATCAACTAAGCAAGTTCCTTGATAGTCACTAAAGGAGAAATAGTGGTACATCAAAATTCCT